ATTATCTAGACAGTAGTATTTGAAGTTGATGAAAACAATAAGAAAGTTTGGGTTTTAAAGAAAATGAGAAGGACGATAGCGTTTATGTGAAGTTCAAGAATGGAAAATTCTTTTCCACATCCTGTGTATAAATGACATCCTACTCACTAGTAGTGATGTTAATCTGCCATTGGAGAAGAAGAAGTTCTTGTCCTCAAGTTTCAATATGAATGATCTTGGTGAAACCTTATTGTTTCTAAGAATTGAAATTCAAGATAGATAAAAAGGGGTATTAAGCCTATAGCAAAGGCATACCTAGAAAAGATTCTAAAGAAATAAAGTATGTAAGCAAGTAAACCTACGCTTGCTCCTATAGTTAAGGGTAATAGTTTTGAGAACTTTCAGTGTTTCAGGAATCGATATGAGATCGATCAAATGAACATAGTTCCATATGCTTTAGCTATTGGAAGCTTGATGAGTGTACAAGTACAAGTAAGAACTTATCCTGACTAGTTTATGTATCCAGGATATTTTGGCAGAAGTCTAGTCCAGATGTAGATCACTGGAATGGAGTTGAGAATGTCTTACAATTTTATAAAGTATCATAGGCCTCATGCTGAGTAAAAAAGAATAAGTACTCTTAAATAGTTGAGGGTACAAATGTTAAGTCTTGACGAGATTTGCAGTGAAATCCATATTAGTTGCTAACACTTGTAGTTGGAGTATTATTGTGGAAAAGCTCCAAAGAAACAGTTGTTGTGTCAACAGTAATGCATACCATAGTATAGCTTGACATGAGGTTTAAGGAACAAGCACAAGGAGGTTAAGGGAATTAGTACCCAGATTTAACAATGGTAGTCAACAACAATAACCATTTAAAGTAGTTAACTCCTAAGGCAATAGGTCAAAGTGTGCTGCCAAACACATTGACATTGAGTTATATGTTGTAAAGGAGAAAATTCAGAATCATTTCGAAAGCATTGAGCATATGAGTACAAAGCAAATACTTGTGGATCCGCTTACCAAAGGCTAACCACCCAGTGCGTTCTGAGAATACACAGTTGACATGGGTTTACGAGAAAGCCTATAATTTCTAGATACTAAAGGCCTAGTTGAGAATGTATTTTAAAACAGAAAGATGCATTGTAACTGTTTAATCTAGTGGCAACTGACCGTGACGATGAGACACGCTCTATGCACTGATCTGTGATGGAATGGGAAAATAATAAAGTATGTTGAGTTTAAGTCATAAGGTGAGATTAAGGCGGAGAATGTTAGGATGATCTCCACTAGTTGGCCCAACGGCTAATTGAGCTCTTGATTCGCGTCCTGATCGGGGGCGCTCAGCCGGTTCTCCTAGCTGATAGGCCCCTGTCGCGCAGCACCATAAAAGAACGGTGGGGGCTAGGGCACAAGACACGAGGTTCACCGCAACCGCCAACCCATCGTGTTTCCTAGCCCTAGTTCGATCTAGAAGGGCGTGCTGTGAGCGATGGGAAGCACTATCGCCTTCGCCGCCATCACCAGACCGGGTCTGCATTGCTGCTACTTCGTCGCCGGGGCCATAGCTGCAACTGAAGACTCGAGATGAGATACATCATCATCAAGTTTTATTTAAACTAAGTATTTACTCACTAGATCAACACCCAGAGAGGACGTTTAAGTTCTATCAAGCAGTGCACACAGCTATCCTGAACGTATAATATACCCTTCGGCTCTAAGGGTATTATAATATAATAAATAAAAAACAAAGTTTCGTGCGTGCAGTTGTTGCTTCTCGACTCATCGCACTATACTCCTCATCGCCATGATTCCAGTCTGCTGCCGCCGGTGCTGCCCCCTCCTACTGCTGTTGCCCCTCCGCTCCGGCCTCCGAATAGCCACGCTTCTGATCTATTGCCTCCCGCGCGGGTCGCCATGGCCTTCCGCCGAATGGCCGCTGCGGGCATTTGCATCTTGATGCGCCTCTGCGACTGCGGCCGGCTCGCTTCGCGGGGGTCGACGATGCTGTGCACCCGAAGGAGACAGGGAAGGGCTACCATCGTCAACTGCCGAGGGAGGCTCTGCGCTCCGTCCATGGAGCTGCGCCTCCGCAACTGCAGCCCGGCTCTCTTCGCGGGGGGTCGCTGCTGTTGTTCACCAGCAGGAGGCCGGGGAAGACCACCATCATCAGCTGCCGAGGGAGGCTCTGCGCTCCGCCCGCCCTGGGAGCCGTGCGTTCGCAATTGCGGCTGGCTCGCTTCGCGGGGATCGCTGCTGATGTTCGCCCGCAGGAGGCTGGCGAAGGCCACCATCGTGGACTGCCGAGGGAGGCTCCGCACCCCGCCCGCCCATGGAGACATATATACCGTGGGAAGGCTAAAGGCCATATCCGTTTCAACTTTCTCGCACGAAGATAAAAGGACTATTGATGGCCTAGTGGTACGGTGGGCTGGTGGCGGTATTTTTATTTTAGCACTACGATGATCAGTTACCAATAGGCGGGGAGCTAAAGAGGATGACCGAGATGATTGCTTTCGGGAAGTAGAAGTGAACACAGGTGACATTGCTTCGCGAAATCGCATGAAAACACTCTATTGGGTTCTCCAATTTGTACAGTAGATTACTTTGTACGTATACTTGTTGACGTGTTGTACCTGAGCTTTTGCTATACGTAGGATTAGATTTTCATTGTTATTATATTATTATTCATGTATTAGTTTTTATTTTTTTTATTTACATTTAGTTGAAGTTTGGAACGAGAGGAAAAAAAGACAACAAAATTAGCAAAAAGAACACATCTGAATAGAAAAAGAAATTGGAGAAGAAATAGCATATATAGATAATATAATGGATGGTACCCCTGTGCAAGATGAACGTGCCTGACGGACAACTCGCTCTTGTTTCTTACAGAAATCACGCCATTGGCTTCCTCCATCCTCAGGGCCAGCGTCCACGTCGTCACGTTGAAGGCGAAGCTAGAGCGCTCGCACGTGATCGTGCCTGGGCCGCACCGCAGCAGCAGTGCCCAACGCAACCTCACCGCGCCAGGCACGGCGGCGGCCAAGGTGCGACAATACTGTATGTTAGGCCGATCGCCGCTGTGGTGGTGTTTGCTGGGCAACCCAGGCAGCGGTACCGGAGTTTGGGGTTCTCCTCCGCCATGTCGTACACGAGGAAACCGCCGAGGTAGTCGACCCCTGCACATGAAGGATGAAGCGGCTGCCGATAGGCACGACCGCGTCGATCTCCGTCCAGCACAACTACTCACCGTCTCCCTTGTGGTGCACGATGGGCACCCGCTTGAGCACCCAGGCGTGGCCGGGGCGGAGCACGCAGAGCTCGGCCGTGATATACAGCGCGCCGTGCGGCGGCATCTCGAGCTCGGCCACCAGGACCTCCCCCTCGCCGCGGCACAGTATGCCGGTGTCGTTCCAAGAGGACAGGTTGCGCGCCTTGGGTGTTGTAATAGGAACCTGGCGGGCGCTTTTGTCTCGCCACGCTGGAACTTCATGGAAACATAACAGCCAGGGAACAGGGATAGCGATGGCGTCCGACCGGGACCGGCGCCTGCCTCGTACAGGAAATACTCAGTAGGAATCGCGTTTGAGCGGCATCATCTCGATGAGGACGGTGTCGCCATGGGCCGTGATGATTTGGAGTTTGGGATCCTTGGAGTGCTTGCGGTCGGCGAGCAATAGGAGCGGTAGTCGTCGTCGCTGCCAGAGTACTCGTTGCTGCTGTTGGAGTGGGAGTACTCGTCGTCGTCGCTCGCAGGCGTGCAGCCTACGCCGTCGCAGCCTACCCAGTCATCGTGGAAGCTGGAGGCTGCCGGCGGTGCCGCGGCGCTGAAGGAGACGCTGAAGCGTAGGCCGGAGGACGTGCAGGAGGCAGCCGTGGTCTTGGCGTCGGCTAAGGAGTCACGGCCGTGTTCGTGTTGTAGCGGTTCAGCAACATCCAGCGTGGCCGGCTGCCTTCAAATCACTCGGGTTGGTTAGGATTTCCATGATGCCGGAGCTTTGGATGAGATCGATCGATGGGTATATGGTTCAAGAATTCACGATTCACGACGAGTAGAAATTAATACAGTGCTTTTGATCGATCGGCTGCCTCCATTTATATAGGCCTACTTGTCGTCATTCTTCTCGAGATCGAAACAGAGAAGAAGGCGGCCGACAACTGCATCTAGATTTATGGGCGTTTCCGACACAGCTCGGAATTTGCCAACAAATCGGACTCGGACTTGGATCAATACAAGTAATTCCGTAGCCCACTATTTTTTTTCTTTCTGAACCACACTCAAACGGGACCTACGAGATTGTCTAATTCCTATTCTTATTATCCTTTTTTTCTATTTGAATTAGATTAGAATTTCTATTCAGGTTTCTTAGGACTCTTAAGCTCTATTTTTTCTATTTGAATTAGCTCTATTTGGAAAAATAAAAAAAACAGAAAATAAAACTTTTACCCTTTTGTATTTAGATTAGAACTTGTATTCGGCGGATGGATCTATTTGATTAGGATTCAAACTATCCATGCCTTAAGAACATATATTCAAGCAGTAGACACATGAATAGAAACAATTTTCACATTTACATAGTTAGTTAGTGAAGGTCATACAAAAAAATGGGAAGAAATTTTACCTTTTTATTATTCGGTATATATATAGATATAGATATAGATATAGAAAAAAGAGAGCCTACCTACTTGTGTTCCATTATAAAGATCGAAATTACTGTGTATCAATAGAAAAACAGTAATACTTTGATCAAGCGTCTGACTCTTTACTGGATATTAGATGGACGCGGAGCGTGGGACCATGTCAAATTTAATTCTCGTCTACTCCCCAACTAACACAACTTTTGTTTTTAAAAATGCCCCGTCAGGTCATCATAATGTCCATCTCCCACACCGCCGTCCGCCGCTGCTCCATGCGCTTGCCCCGCCGCTCCTACCGCTGCTCCGCGCGCCCGCCTCGCTGTTCCTGTCGCTCACCACCGACGTAAAGCAAACGCCCCACTGTGGCACCGCCGCACCATCCCATGGCTATGGCTTCAACCGTCACCAACGCTGCTTCTCTCCGCCTCGCCTTCCCTCTATTCTCCGCGTCCTCCTCCTCGTCGTCCTCCAATACCCTTCGCTTCCCTCTCCGCCGTTGCCACTCCTCCCGCCCCTCGCCATCGCTGCCTTCAAGAAGCTCTCAGACGCGTCCTTCGTGCCCATCCTCAGGAGCCCATGCAGCCCTGGTTGACGAGGACGCCCTACCCCCAAAGCCTGGAGTCTACGACGTCTATGACCCCACCGGGGAGCTGTAGTTCGTCGAGATTTCGCGCAACGTCAGGGCCGCACCGGGATATAATGCATGTTCCAAGTGTACATTTTAAATATTTCAGATGTTTTAAAGGTATGTTTCCAGTGTTTTCATATGGATGTTGCAAAAGTAGATCGGGATGTTGCATATGTTGCAATGACTAAACATGTATGTTGGAAGTGTATTTTTCAAATGTTTCATCTGTTTTAAACGTATGTTCTAAGTGTTTTATCTGGATGTTGCATATGTTGCACTGGCTATACACGTATGTTGCAAGCGTATATTTCAAATGTTTCAGTTATTTCAAACGTATGTTGCAAGTGTTTTTTCTTGATGTTGCATATGTTGTAGGACCCATACACATATGTTGCAAGCGTATGTTGTAAATGTTTCATCTATTTCGAACGTATGTTGCAGCAAATGCTTTTTACGTTGCAAGTGTTTCATCAGTTGGCGCGGCTAGGGGGTGCAGGCAGAGGTGGTCCCCTCGGGCTCAGCGGTCCCCACGTGCACAAAGCTGGGCATGGAGCACTAAACTGCATGCATGCTCGGCTGCTCTCTCTCTCTCTCTCTCTCTCTCTCTCTCTCTCCTTATTCTAGCTGGATATGGCCGGTCAACAGGAGCATCACGCGCCAGCAGGCGCATGCAGGCAGCAGGAGTGCTGCTCCTGATGGCAGCGGGCACGATAATTTCTCCCCACAAGCGGTCAAATCGGGACCTAGCGAAAGAGGCACGGGGAAGGAGCACGGGCGGGCGCTGCGCGGGAAAGCCGGACATGGGGCGTCCGGACACGCTGCTGGCGCCGAACATCCGGGCGCTAGCCACCCCGAAAAAAAAGTTCTCCCATATTCTCACACCAAACTTTTTCCCTTATGTGCCATTACTGTATATTTTACCTGTAACAGCAGCTAACAGCCAACAAAAATAATGTATGGTCCTCAGTTATAGAATGCATCAAAATTTTCATTCTTTCCTCTATTGCGACTAAAATTTTTGGATGCATTGCAGAAAAAAATCATTCTTTCCTCTAGTGCATGTAACAGCTAGCTTGTATGTGTGCATATGAAAATTTTCAATAAATATAATAAATTTGGAACGCATCCAAAATTTGGACAGCTGCGACAACCAAAATAAGTGTTTAAATTAAATACATTCAGATATAAAATAGGTCCAAATATGTCATCCACACATGCATAGTTAGCTTGATTACAAAGTCAAGTTTGCATACACAAGATGGTCACATTGACCTCATTGCTAGTTTAAACATTGTTTGGTCATGTGGACCTCAAGTACTAAAAAAGCATGAAATAGAGATGCAAACTCATCAAAGATCAAGTTTTTTCTCGCTCCTAGCTCCCATTGCCAAGCTAGAAGGGGAACTAGGGACCTTGCTACGAGTTGACATGGCTGGACTATCTTGGCATCACAATTTTTCTTCTCATTCCAATCCTTCTCAATTGTGTTTTTTCGAATGGCCTTCTTCTTGTGCTGTTGCTCACTTGTGCTCTTGTTAGCAGTGTGGTGCTCACTTATCCAGAACGGCACGTAATCAACAAATGATGGGATCATGTTCCAGATCCTCTGACAAAAGGAGACATGGGTAAAAAAACAATTAGTTAACCTACTAAAGTGGTGAAAATGTTAGTATTTAATCTTGTCATTAGAGCATTGCATGTTTATGTTGTTAGTTGCATGTAGAAAATAAGTGTCAGTGGCTCATGGTCAATATGTTGACGTGCCATGTGATGTGGGTGTTGCCGTGGGAAGCAGTGCTGCATGTGAATTGCTACGAGAAGTAGTTGGATTGCAGGCAAAGAAAGGTTAAGAAAGCCGAGTGAATCGGTCAGGCGTGATGCTTGGAAGGAGTGGCCTAAATCGGTCAGATGTGGATGGATGCATGCACAAGATGTGCTGCTAGGCTATTAGTGGCCGGTGAAGAGGTCAGTCCTAGAGGCTTGCATGACATGAGCTACGGCTAAGTGGAATTGGCCGGTTGTTATCATTTGCATGTACATAGTTGTTAAGTCTATAAATGAATGGAAAAACGATGGGAGTTGTGTGGCTTGCGTCAACAAAGTTGTCTATTTTTATCATTCCTGTGTGTGTTCATCCATGAGAATGTAGGAGAGTGTTTGTGATAAACACATATAGAGTGAGGGAGAGATTCCCAGCAAGATTAAGTGAGGAGGGATTTCCAACAATTGGCATTGGAGCTAGGTTGTTCCACGAAGACGATGCCGCACGACGGATCTTCATCGAGCAAAGCCATGGTAAGCAGTGGCTTCGGTGACTCGACGACGACCATGATGACGGGGAGGCTCCCGTTCTCGATGCTGACAAGGATGAACTACATGTAAGGTCAAGATGGCGACTAGAGGGGGGGGGTGAATAGTCATTTCTAAATTTAATCATGCCGGCTAACCAAAACAAGTGGGGATGAGGGTAGCTCAATGACATGCTCAACTAGAGTTGCTCTTCGTGGCCCCCGCAGGGCGAGCACAATGCCCCTCACAGAGCTCTTCTCCGGAGCACTGCACAAGCTTCTTGTGGGCTTCGATGGAGACCACCACCAAGCCGTCTAGGAGGTGGCAACCTCCAAGAGTAACAAGCACCACCGGCTTGCAAGACGACCAACTAGTGCCACTCGATGCAACCTCATGATGCAATCGCACTAGAATCACTCACTCACTCAATCAGATGAACACTATCAAGCTAGAGTGAGTTAGAGGGCTCCCAAGCACTACCACATAAGCCACTAAGGCTCTAGTGTGCTTAGCTACCAACCAAAGGCCGACCATCACTTCTATTTATAGCCCCACAGGCTAAAATAGCCGTTACCCCTTCACTGGGCATTTTTGGGACGCGCAGGTCGTGTGCACCGGACGCGTCTGGTGGTTCGGTCACCTATGTTCGGTCGCTGCCTGATTGCCATGTGTCCCATTCAAACTAGCCGTTGCCACCAATGGCTCTCTCTAACATGTCGGATCGGACGCGTCCGATGTGTCGACCGGACGCCGGAGGGCCAGTGGCTTGTCGACCCTAGAGAGCTCCCAGAGATACTCAACCACGACCGGACACGTCCGGTGTGATCGATCGGACGTAGGACGGGCAATGTCTAGTCGAGTCCAGAGAGCTCCTAGAGCTGCTCAACTCCGATCGGACACGTCCGGTGTGGCCGACCAGACGCGCCCCTACGTCCGGTCCACTCTGGACCAACACTAGCGTTCCACGTCACCATGACCGAATGCAGCACAGTGATTGCTCAGCGTTCGGTCACTGTTACGAGTCAGAGTCCAGTCATTAATACTGGACGCGTCCGGTCGCCATACCGGACGCGTCCGGTCACTCTGTGACCAGCGCAACTAACTCCTTTTCTTCACCAACTTCTTCACCTTTGCAAATGTGCCAACACCACCAAGTGTACACCACCATGTGTATGTGTGTGAGCTCTTCATAAACATTTTCCAAAGGATTTGCCAGTCAACTTGCCATGCCACTCGATCCTAGCGATGATGCAAAGTTAGATCACTCAAGTGGCACTAGATGACCGATATGCAAACAAGTGTGCCCCTCTTGATAGTATGGTCATCTATCCTAAACACAGTCATCAACTTCTCTACACACCTTTGACCGGTGAAATGAAATGCCCTAGGTTATACCTTTGCCTTGTGCATTCGATTCCATCTCCTCCAATGTTCATGCAACACATGCACCAACACTATCAACAATGATATGATCCACTTCATATCATCACGTGATTATATTGGTTCATCGATCTTGACTTTACTTGCTTTTCACCGTTGCCTTCGTCCATCAGTGCCAAGTCTTGCTCAAGTTTCACCGCTACGCGGTCCATCGCTCCAAAGCCTTCGACTTGCCCTTCATGCTTGCAACCGGTCCATCAAGCCAAGTCATATCTTGATCTTCTCCACCTTGATCACATGACTCAATGTCATGTCTCATGTGCAATAAGCTCCTTCATCATCACATGTGTGAGCTTTGCAGCATCTCCGAGCCATTTCCACCTTCATGGCGTATGTTGCTCACACACATATACCTATGGACTAATCACCTATGTATCTCACATAAACACAATTAGTCCACCTAGGTTGTCACTCAATTACCAAAACTACACAAGGACCTTTCAATCTCCCCCTTTTTGGTAATTGATAACAACTCTACAAAGATATGGAAATTAAACTCATTTCAAGCTAGCACTTCACACAAGTGTAAATTGCCAACTTGATTTGGATTTTATGCCACTTATCCAACATTTAAGCTCTATGTTAAGATTTGGATAAGCATAATAAAATCCGACTTGGTAGTGATAGCTCCCCCTATGTGTGCTCAAATGATTTGATTTCAAGTTTGCACACATGCATAAATATGAAATTTGTGGGAGTGTTATCACTACTAAGTGATGCTAAGGTGTATAGAATAACATTTGAAGCATGATACCAATCGGAATTGCACCTTTAAGTTCATCCTTAGCACCATGGTTAGCTAGATATCACTTGGAAATAAATTCACTAGATACCTCGTGAGATCAACATTAAAAGCAAGGTACTAGCATTACTTAAAAAGCATACCAAGTGTCTAGCTACCATCCTATGCATGCTAGTTTTCATTTCATTAATCAAATTCTACAACTAGCATACATCACACAAGCATGCATATTGAATTTAAAAGCTTATGCAATGCAAGCAAGCACATGAATATGCTCATCAAATGCAATCAATCAAAGTTCATGAGCTTGCTCCCCCTACTTGTGTGCTTCTCTTGTCCAAGAATTTGATCCATCTCTTTTCTTTAATGTTGCTCCCTCTTTGTCCATGTCCATGTCCAACCTCTACTTCTTTTCTTTGATGTCTCCCAAAGCTTTCATATCTTCTCAATCTCTCTCCTAAAGCTTTCACAATCTTTGTACACCCAAAGCTTTCATATCTTTATACAATCTCTCCCCCTTTGTCATCAATTTCCATAAAAGGTGTGCTTCTCATTAA